TAGGAATAAATTTTCGAATTTTACGGGAAAATTGGACTAAATAGCCTTTTTCAAACGCCAATATCACCAACTCCAAATTTTATGTTTTATAACCATGAAATTACAAATTACCCCTTGCTATTTTATCTCTCATTTTCTCTGCTCTTTCCTCTTCTTCTCTACTCTCTCTTTCTCTCTCTTATTCATTCTTCCATTTCTCTGCCGATCCTTTTCTCCTATCTGTGATTCGATTTTTTTTTTCACTATCAGATTTTTCAAGGATGTGCATTCCTCTCTCTCCCTCTCTCTTTCTTCCATTTTTTTTATACCATATCCCATTCAATTTTTTTGTTTTCCTTTAATTTTGGATTTTTTTTGTTTTGATTTTGAAGACATGCATTTTTCTCTCTCCTCTCTCTTCCTTATTTTTCATTCATCTCCTCTCAATGTTGACTCCATTGTTGGAACTTAAAATTCAAAAACAAAATAACAAATACACACACAAAAGAACGGGTCACACCTAAAAGAGAGGTACAAAACAGACAAAAAAAGGCTCTCGCTCTCTCGCTCCCGCTCACGGCACTCGCACTCTCGCTACTCTTGCTCTCGCCCCTCTCGCTCCTGCTCGGCGCTCTCGCTCTTGCTCTCGGCGCTCTCACTCTCGCTCTCATCGTATGTCTCTCATCGGAAAAAAATCATAAATGGAGCAGCTTGTTGCTTGTTTTTTCAGAGAAGATGAAGAAAAAAGAATGAGAATGGGAAGAGGCGGCTTAGGAGTGATAGGGAGGAAGATAGCAATAAATATTTAGGGTTTTTTTTATGGTGAGTAAATAAGAGAGATAAAGTTGGTTGAATTTTTCAAGAAAGAGAGAATTTGTAACGATATAGGAGGAAAGAGGAGAGAGAAATGGAGGAGAAAGTAATAAATTCGAGAAAAAATGAAAAGGGTAAAAATACACCAAATCGATGTTACAAAACATAAAAATGAGGAGAGGGGCCACATTTTATAATGGGCCTGTGAAAAAGGCTATTTAACTCGATACCCCTAATTTTACCTTGACTTTTTACCTTTTGTTGCATAGGTGTAAAAGTGAGGTGGGAAGTTGAAGGATCATTTACCATTGCACTCATATTTTGTGCCTTCACAAAAATCAAAGGCCTTTTAACTTCTCTCTAAATCCCAAACATTTTTTTGTTTCACGAAAATTTTCCCATACTCAAAAGATAATCTAATTTGGAAGTACTAAATTCACTTTTAATTCCCTCATCATTTTGTTTATCTTTTTTCAATAAGAAATGCATTTAAACCATCGACTTCAACCTTTAAATCCTTTTTATTTTTCATCAATGGATTATTTTGACTTACGAAAGCTTTGTTGGCGTTACAAACTTTGGTAAGCTTCTTTAAGAGAATTTTCGTCAAGTTCTAAATCTTCACCATCATAATCATCTTTCTCAATATCGATTCCATGTCATCTTATAAATTCTGCAAGCTATCGAATTATCAGAAATAAAAGTTGCAATAAAAGCTACATTATCAACTATATGTTCTTCTTTATCTGAATCTTCATCATTTCAAGTACTTGTTATCAAGTTGGTCTTTTTCGTTAAAAAGTTTGGACATTCAGCTTGGATATGACCGTAATGGTCGCATTCTCTATATTGTATCCCTTTTGCTTTTCTTTTTATTTAAGCGAAAGATTACCGTCTTTTGAAAAAGGTTGAGAAGTTTTAGAACTCTTTGACATCTTTTTCATAAATTTACTAAGATTCTTTGACAAAATAGCTAGTTGACTCATCTATCAAATTTTCTCAATTTTATCACTTTGAGCACAATTAAAAGCAATTGATTTCTCTTATTTTATTTCTTTCCAATTTAGTTCAAAAGTTCTAACATAGCCCATCAATTCATCTACCTTCATATCATCTAAATTTTTACATTCCTCAATAACCGTTATTTTACGACAAAATCTATCTGGTAGAGATCTAATAATTATTCTAACCAATTTAAAAATTGAAATTCTCTCCCTAATGCAAACGATTCATTAGCAATATCACATAATTTAGGGTAAAAATCATTCAAACATTCATCTTCTAACATAGTAAGATTTTCAAACTTAGCGGCAAGCATAATTAATAATTCAGTGCGGTTAACATAACTGTTTCTTCATATATTTTATGTAAAATGTCTCGTACCTCTTTTGCTGATACACATGTTGAGATGAGTTTGATATTTGATCGACATTAACTCCATTAAAAATGGTTAAGAGCTTTGCTATTGCAATTTGATAGTTTGTCATCTTCAGCTAACCATTTTATCTTGGGCTTAGTGGGAGACGCCCTTCCATGCCCTTTAATAAAATGTTCTCATTCGGATCTTTGAATAAGAATAGTTGTTTGCTGTCAACAAATCTGGTTTAGCAATGGAAAATCTTTTTGAAACAGGCATTTTAGCACAAAATTGTGATCAATTAAAATTCCCAAAAATCTCACTAAAAGAAATCAGTGCTGATTGATACAATTGAAAGATCTAATTAGCTTGCTAAAATATTATTTTATTAATGATGTCTCAATTTGGTGGATTTTAGAATTTAAAACAATTAGGCGCGTGCAATTGTAACGGTAAGACAACACAAAGACCATTTGTTTTAACGTGGTTAGGTTTCCCAACCTACTCCACGAGGCCACGCTAAGAGAACAAGATCAACAATCAAAAGTTAATACAATTTACAATCAATATCGACCTATACGTAAAAGAACTCTATTCTTAAATCATGCCGCAATACTTGATTGACTTTTCATTCGACTGAATCTTTTCAAACACAAGCTCCCCTTGTGTTGTAGACCACTGCTTGAACTCCCTTCAACGGTGGATGTGCCTTCTCCCAAGACTTGGTAGAAATCTCACGAAAAAAAAATAATAATAAAAAATAACAACTCACTGAATTGCACTTATCGAGTTACATAAAAAAAATTATCCCTCAAAATATTACACTATAAACAATCCTTGAACAATTTAAGAGAACAAACAAACTTTGCTTTGCACTTCTTGCTTCGTATGTTTCAAGACTACACAATAAATGGACAAGAAAATTGACATGAGAAGGAAAGTGAATTTACCACGATTCTAATTAAACGACAAATCCCTCAATATAATTAAACCGCAATTCTCACACAATCAATTAGAAAGACATTAAAAAAAAAAGAAAAAAAATAGCCGTCGGAGACATTTAAGAGTTCAAATTCAAATTTAAATTAAAAAACACGATCAAATAATTAATTAGACACCTTAAAATAAATAAAGGAAGTGATTGAATAAAACTTAATATTTTTGCCAAAAAAAAAAAATTCCAAAATAAAATTTCTTTCAATGACAAAAACTCTCTCCACCTATAAATTAAATGACTTTGAATCTTCTGATCTTGATATATATGTTGGTCCATACTCCATTGTATTCGAACCCACACTATGAGAATTGATATAATGCTATAACTAACTTATTTATATGCCATTATCATAATCTACATTCATGTACATAATAATAATTAATCATCAAATAAATGGTATTTACTAAATATTAAAAAAACAAACGGGTAAAGATATGTATGTCCGACTAAAAGTTTAAATCTTCACTCCCAAATATTGTTCTACTAGAAAATCTAATTCAAACAAATAAATTTACAAAAATACTAAATTAAGTTAGAGAAAAGTTCAAATGTTTACCCAATTTAAATTAATTAATCAATAGCATCAAAATTTAAACGGTAACTTAATATTGCAATTTAAGCCATATACACACGTGAATAAGGAATGGAAATAATACCCTCTCAATTTGTTAAGTTTTTTTTTCTCTAATTTGTGACTCGCTCTATTGAGCATTCTTATAATATTAGATGAGAGTACTGTTAGAAGTATTGGTTATTCCAATTGTGAGAGATGGTTTTAATTAGTCAGATTTTGGCATTTTATTCCTAAGTTTAAACATTTTTATCTGTTTGATTTTGTCTAGGTTTGAGTATTTTTATGATCAAATTGGAGCATTTTTGTGACATGATGTTGGTTTTTTTTTGGGTTAAATTTTGTATGATTTATTAGTTTATTTATGAACAATTCTCTAAAACTAAGTTTTTTCACAAACAATTAATTTCAACACTCGTTCATATTTAGCTTCTAATGGATGAATTAAAATTAAAAATTAAAGTTTACCCACTGCGACACGAAGTTCAGGGTAAAATTTTGAATTTTCCTTTTTAACTTATTAATGATTAATAAAATCTCATTTGCAAAAATGAATCAGTAAAAATGTTCTTTAATTTAGTTTTTTAAATTAAACTATTTTATTTTATCTTACTTTTATTTAATTTATTAAATTAAACTTGATTTCTTTTACTTCATTAACTGAAATGAAATGAAATTTAGTGTAATTTATTAGATTTAACCCTAATCTAGTAAACTTTATTAAATAAAACCTAATTTAATGTAACTTATTAAATTAATGGTAAAATTCACACTGTGAACTCATTTGACTATTAGTTGACTGTTGTATCTATTTTGTTTCAAGGTTGGACGTTTTTAATTCTTTAGGATTGAAAAATAGTTTTAAATAGTCTCTTTACCTCGTTTGACTATTAATTAACTAACAATAAGCTGACGTGACAATTAAATTATTGACGGTACTACTTTTTGTTGATTTCATAAAATATATTAACTTTAATTTTCTATCTAGATCCTTTCAAAAAATATATATAACTTTTATTTTCCTCTCTAATATATCTCTAACATATACTTTTCCGCTTTTTTCCTCAATTTTATTTTTCAAAAAACAGAAACCTTTTTGTCAAATTATCATTGGTGTATTTGGTTATTCTTGACCTTTTACAAGACTAAAAATGAATGTCCACAACTTCCCTCCTACTCCTTGGATATAAGTTTCTCCCTTTATATATCTCTCCATATTTCTATATATATTGGCAGAGACGTGGATTTGGGTTATGTTTTTGTAGTCACAGTTAATTTGAAGAATGTTTTGTGAGTTATTGAAACACTCTAAAGCTCGTTTAAGAGCAGAGCTCCAACAGTTCGTCCATAGAGACTTTCATGAAGTTGTTCAGAGGATGACCATCCTAGACACTGTTCTTTTCTTGGTAAGTTTTTATTTTTATTTTTTTTATGTTCTCTGTTTATGAATCATTTCACGAACATATAATCAATCTTTGTTCAACCAAATGTTAAGGGTCGGTTTGATAACCATTTTAGTTTTTGGTTTTTGGTTTTCTGTTTTTAAAAAACAAAATCCATATATGTTTGATAACCATTTTTTTGTTTTTTGTTTTTWAAAAACAGAAAACCAAAACATGTTTGGTAACCATTTTTAATTTTTTGTTTTTCAAAAGTTAGAAAATTGAAAATACATATTAGAGAGAGAAAAGTTTATGTAGAGTAGAGATGGCAATGGTGTGAGTGAGGATGCTCTCCCTCATTCTCCTACTTATGAAATTTTTTAGTCTCCATCTCCATCTCGGACTCCTTGGGTCCAAGAGATGTTCTCAAGAAAAATTATCGGTTTTATAATTGTTTTTAAGTATTTTTAGAATTTAAGTATAAAAAAGTGTAATAAATATATATTAATTATTTAAAAAATGGAATTGGGGATGGGGACGGGGTCGGGACATGCATTTCCTATTTTTGGGAAATTTTTGTCTCCCCCATGAAAATACAAGTTTGTTTACAGAGATGTAAATAAACATTTTGGAGATAAATTTTAGAGGGATGAATAAAAAGATTTAGAAAAAAAAACGGTTAAAGAAAAGTTAAAGACAAAAAGAGAAAAATTGTAGAGAAAAAAAAATAAAGTTGAGAGGAAAAGATATGTTAAAGAAAAAAAAAGAAATTATAAAGAAAGAGAAAAATTATAGTGGAAATAAATTTAGAGATAATAACACGATTCAAAATATAATTTTTAGAGAAAATAAATAAATAGAAAGATAAATAAAAGTTACAGTGAAAGAAAATTGAACTAGACAATAAAATATAATTTTCAGAGAAAAAATAAGAAGAGAGAAAAATTATAAAAGATGAAATTTTAGAGAGAAAAAAGTTATGACAAATATTAAATTTTTAGAGAGAGAAATGAAACTGGTCTATTTAAAAAAAACAAAAATACAGAAAAATTTGGATAGAAACAAATAATAATAAATATTCAAAGTATGAAAATTTTAGAGAGAGAAAAATAAAGTTTGTAGATAGAAATTTAAAAATAAAAAAATTTTAGATCTGAGAAATAAATTTTTTAAAGATAAATATGAAAAAGAAAAAAAAAGTTGAGTATTAGAAGAAAAAATCGGATTTTGAAAAACAAAAACCTATTTTTGAAAAATTACTTTTTTTTTTGTTTTTGAAATTTACATAGAATTTCAAAATGGTTTTTGAAAAACAAAAAACAGAAAATTGAATGGGTTATCAAACAACGCTATTTTTGAAAACTAAAAACCAAAAACCAAAAACCAAAAACCAAATAGTTGTCAAATGAGCACTAAATATTTGGTAACTTTTCCGTTTTTTGTTTCTGTTTCTTACTTATTGTTTTACACCTTAATCTTTTAGATAATTTTCCATTTTATTCTTGAGCTTGAGCTTGAATTTGGTAATCTCTACAATGGTATAATATTGTTCGTTTTGGGCATAAGTCTTCTAACTTTTTTGTTTTTGGTTTCACCCAAAAGTCTCGTACTAATGGAGATGTTGTTTGTCTCTCATATGTATACATCTTCTCCTCATTTCGTCGATATGAGACTTTGTTCGCATTTCCAACATGGTCCTTATAGTTTTACAAGTTTCAAATAGTTCTCTATAATTTGGATTTAGTTTCAATTTGGCTGTTATGGTTTGGTTTTAGTTTGAGTCTAGTTTTTATTGGTTTAAAAGTTTCACTTTGGTCATTATGGATTTAGTCAAAATTAAAAAATAGTACTTGCTTACTACATTGACAAATTTTTTTCAGTTTAAAGCGGAGCGAAAAATAAAAGAAAATAGGTGAGTTGCTAGGGTGGGTAAAACAAAATTTATAGACGTACTCGTGGGATTTAACCATATTCCAGGGACTAAATTGAAGTAAAACTTAAATCATAGGAATTAAATTGAAAATTTTAAACTTATAAAAACCAAAGGAACAAACTTCCCTCCGGAAGATCAGGAGAAGTTCCTCCTGAATTTTTAGGTGGTCCAGTAGCATATAGACAATTGGATTATATACATAGGAATTATACAAAATTAAAAAATCCATTTATTTATATGATACTGGACGATGCACGAAATCAGGACGAAGGAGGGAAGTTTTGTCCCAAACGAAATCAGAACTTTGTCCAGAGATCAAAATTTTAATTTAACCTAATCAATATTTTGTTGATGCAGATTGTGCAATTATTTGATAAGTTGGGAGTTTGGCATAAACTACCTGTGCTTTTGGGGCTAATTCATCTGGCAATTCGCCGGCATCTTTATCAACGATATAACTTGTTGAACGTCGGCACAACCCCGATCGGAGTTGGATTTGACCCACTGGATTTTCCTTACAGAACCGCCGACGGCAAGTACAACGACCCCGTCGATGAAGCTATCGGTGCCCGAGGATCCTTCATTGCTAGAAACATCTTTCCTATTGACCAAACCAAAAATGTAATATGTCGTTCTTCCCTCTCTTTCGTGCATTTAAATCTTATTTTGATTCTCTAAACTTTTAGGATGATACTAAAAACAATAGCAAATATGATAATTTAGTAAAATAATAGCGAATCAAACCTAAACTAAAAGGAAACTATCAGTTATAGATATTGATAGATGCAACAGACCTCCGTTCTACAAAATTGTCATATTTGCAAATTCTTATTCCTGGTTCTACATTTCAAATCTGACAAAATAATTTGCCAACCATCATGATCTTCCCTTATTCGATTTTAATCTCAACTTTCAATACTTATCTTATTCTACAAAACTTTTAAATATATTATTTTTTGTCCCTTAATTTTTAAAAATTTTTATTTTAGCCATTGAATTGGAAAAAAAAAAAAAACTATTTTGATTATCATAATTTACTTTATTGTCCATTGCTTAAACAAATAGATAACGTGAATTTGATTGGTATGTGTACTAAGACATCTTTTGCTAGTAACAAATAATAGGATATTAGGAGTCAAATAATAAGAAAGACCAAAATTTTTTCCTTTAAAAATGACTTTTTCTTTTGTCTTTTTTCACTTGAAATAGATATTTTGGAACATCCAAATAGAAAAGAAAAAAAAGAAGAAATAGGAAAGTTTAGGTTAAAAAATTAGATTTAAAAACTTCATTTTGATGTGTCTATGATTAAGTTTTTTTTTTTCTAATTTATTTGACAGATTATTGAGTTGAAATTTAAAGATGTATTTGATAATATTTGTAGCTACTAAGTCCAGACCCGATGGTAATTGCTACGAAGCTTCTGGCGAGAAGAAAGTTCATAGATACAGGAAAGCAATTCAATATCATTGCTGCTTCTTGGGTTCAGTTCATGATCCATGATTGGATTGATCATTTAGAGGATACAAAACAGGTCCAATATCATTATTAAAAAAAAGACATATAAAAGTTTAAACACAAAAAGAAATAAGTAAATAACAGTTTAAATAAATTACACACCATAATGATTAAGACATATATTAATTACAATAGAAATGATTAAACATTATGAACTCTACATAAAATTCACTTTGTATATTTCCATTTAAGTCCGCAGCATCTACCTATTTCTGTCATACACTCTTTACAGATCATAAATCTACAAACAAAATTTCTTTTAAGTTACAAAATGCAAGTTAATATAACTGACTCTTTTATACAATCCAACTACGTGCATGAGTTTTGCAATTTAATACTTTCATAAACTTATAAAATCCTAATTAAACTTTATTAAAATGGTTAATTCTTAAGTATAGATTGAATTAGTTGCTCCACGTGAAGTTGCAAGCGAGTGCCCATTGAAATCATTCAAGTTCTACAAGACAAAGCAGATTCCCACGGGTTCGTATGAGATCAAAACCGGGTCTATCAACATTCGAACCCCTTGGTGGTACGGTATAGATTAAATTACAAGTTTAGTCAATTTTTTTTTCTTGAGATTGGACGTTAAAAAGTATTTAATAAGCTATGAACTTTTAATTTTGTGTTTAATAAGTCTTTAAACTTTCAGAGTGTCAAATAATATGTCTCTAAACTTTCAATTTTGTATTTAATATGTCATTGATATTAATCTATTAGACACAAAATTGAAAGTTGAGAGATTTATTAGATACAAAATTGGAAGTCCAAGACTTAGACACAAAATGGAAAGTTTATGAACCTATTTTAAATACTTATTAAAAAATTCAGAGATTTATTAGATACAAAATTTAAATTACAGAGATGAATTAAACACAATTCTGAAAAATGATAATGTTGTCTCACGTAGGGATGGAAGTGTTGTATATGGAAACGATGAAGAAAGGTTGAGAAAGGTGAGAAGTTACGAAGATGGGAAGCTGAAGATAGGCGACGATGGCCTTCTTCTTCATGACGAGGATGGCGTAGCCATCTCCGGTGACGTCCGCAACAGTTGGGCGGGCGTCTCCGCCCTGCAGGCTCTCTTTGTTAAGGAACACAATGCGGTCTGTGACGCTCTAGAGGTAAATGGTTCGATCTCTTTTGCTTTTGGAAAACTGTAGATAATTGATTGATTAGGTGGTGGGGTATGTTTTAAAACCTTTGCAGAAGGAATATCCAGATTTTGAAGATGAAGACCTTTATCGCCATGCGAGGCTGGTAACTTCTGCTGTTATTGCTAAGGTTCATACCATTGATTGGAGCGTTGAGCTTCTCAAGAGTGATACTTTGCTTGCGGGATTGCGTGGCAATTGGTATAATTTTTATTTTTTAATCCTTGTGTTTGTTTTTCATTTCAATTCATTTTAAATGGTTTAATTTCATTGTTATGATTTTATTAAATCTCTCGTATGTGTATATTATATTAATAATTTTGTGGTTTAAATACTATCATGTACTTTTAATTTTGGTTAATGTATTTTCAAAACTTCCGTTTTGGTTTGTGTACTTCAAAAATATTACAATTTTGATCTCTTCATTTTTTCTTTTACTTTATTATTTTCTACCTTTCTTGAAATGGAGGTTTATTTGTAAAGCGGGACAAAAATTCTCGTTTTAAAAGTAGAGGAGGAACAAAAACAGACATTTTGAAAATAGAATGACAAAAATGAACAAAAGTTAAAAATCCAAGGACCAAAATAAACGTTTTGAAAATACATTGACCAAAATAAACTAAAGTCTAGAATTCTAATATTTAAACTGATTTTTTTTATGTGGCTCTTCTTCTTTTAGACTTTGGCAGGGAGAGTCACTAAATTAGGGTTTTGTATAACATGAAGGGTAAATTTGACTTTTTATTTGTTCTTCCTGGAAGGTATGGTCTTTTGGGAAAGAAATGTAAGGACAAATTTGGTAATATTGGGGGAGGCTTATTGGGAGGTTTAGTGGGTTTGAAGAAACCTATTAATCATAACGTTCCATATTCAATAACCGAAGAATTTAATAGTGTTTATCGTCTACACTCGCTTCTACCTGATGATTTCCATCTTAGAGATGTCTCCGTTGATCCAGATCACAACAAATCTCCACCATTCATTCACAAGTACCTCTCTCTCCCTCTTTTCTTTATTTATTCATTTTTCTTTTTATATTTCATTATAAACGTTGGCTAGTCTTTATTGTTGTACTTAATTTCAATTAATATCTAAATTAAGTATCAATTACGTAAACTAAGTATTGCTACTAAAACAGTTTAAAGAAAAACTTGTTTATTATTATTATTATGGAGTAAAGAGTATGCAAACTTTTTTTAGTATAAGCAATCGTTAAGGTAGATCAAACCTCGAAGATATGGTAATACGATATCTATCTTATTTACTAAACTATGTTTATTATTCGAATTGACTAAAGCATACAACTCTATATAATTAGTAATACGAAAGGGTTATTTTTAAATTCAGAAGATCCTATTTCTAATTAAATTTGTTTAAATCTATTGAAATATTTGATAAAGTAAAATATTATTGGATCTCTCCCAACAAAATGTTAGAAGAGAATTGAACATTTAACGTTAAGAAAGGTAATAGGTATAGGTATAACTATTTCATCATATGGATTGAGACTGCGGACTGCTAGGGGTTTCGGGGAAACCTCAGGTCTCATTAGGCCAACGGGCGGAAGCGAGTCTTCTTCAACCGTGCAAGTATTGCTGAACTTGTTTCGAACGAGGAAGACGAGATAATATGGAAGACATGATAACAATAATAGGCTGATCTTAAGCTATTTATTTCCTTCAGCAAAAAAAAAGAAAAAAAAAAAAAAAT